ATGGTGTAGCCTAGCAGGTGGAGTGTAGGATGGCAGCTGGTGGCTAGGGGCTGGCAGGGTGCAGTGTGGTGGCGAGAGGCAGGGGTGTGGGGCTGCAGCTGGGGTACGTGTATGTGACAGCGGCTAATGGCCAGAATGTGGGACTGTGGCTAGGTTATGGAGGGCTGGTGGTGTGGTCAATAACGGCCAGGAGTGGAGCTACAATAACAGCCAGGAGTGGAGCTATATACTGTTCCATAGGCACCACTCTGCCTGACGGAGGCTCTTGATGGAGGCACAGTGCAGCTGCATACATTCACTGCCCCCCCGAGGAGCTACACTCTTTGGAAGTGTTGTACACTTTGCTCAACCCTGACTCTGTGTGTGTCAGGAGAAGGGGGCTCCACGGCCTAAGCTCAGTCTATTTACACAGGTTTTAGGGCCAGCCTATTGAAAAGGCATTCCATATATTGGTGGGATGAAGCTGCAGAGATTTACTTGCTTCCTCACGTGTAAGTTTAAAAATGATCTTTGCACAATGACTGCCCACCACAGTTCTCCACTAATAAATTGAAAAACGCATCAATTCGTGTTCGTTAGGTGGCTTTATCTCCTATTGCAGCTAAACTCAGGACTGATTTTCAATTCTTCCACTGTTTCCAGACTTATCTGATGGTGCAAGTTCTGGGTTCTGGGTTAACAAATAATTTCTGTTTTCTAGTTTAGTAGCTAGAATTTGAGTCTCTACAAGTCTCTGACCTTCAACATTGAATCTGTGCATTTCTTCCATCCCTTATCTCTGATCTGATAGCTGTTTTCTCAGTCTTTTGATTCCAAACTCAACTTCCCATTACTTCTCCCATAAGCTGATTTTTTTTTCATATTCATTCAAAATATTTTCCAATTGTTCATTTTCTTTCCTTTTGTTCACATGGTGTTCTTTGATTCACTTAGCAATGTTTTTGGAAATTCAAAAATATTTTTTAAATTAACCAAATTTCCTGAGTTAGTGATATGTAATTGTGATCAGAGAATATACTTAGGTCTTCATTAAAATTTTTGACCTATAGACTACAGCATATTGTTTAAAGAATGTTAAGTCTTCTATATCCTTGCTGGATTTCCTTAAATGATTGAGAATAGGGAGTTGAAATCTCCATCTTATTAACTATTTTTACCTCCAAATTTTTGTTTCATGTATGTGGTGTCTTGTTAGGGGCATATTTATCCATAATTGTTTTTATTTTACTGAGGGGATTACTCTTTTATCAATTAAATAATGTCCCTCTTTGTCTTTAGTGACTTTTTAAAAGCTATTTTATCTTATATAAGATTTCTTCCAGTGTCTTGAGCCAGTAGGTCTCTCCACCCTTTGCTGAGGGCATCTATGTGTTGGGGCATACCTTCAAAGTTCATCATTTTCAAGTGTGCCAAAGCAAAGAAACATGGTAATTGAATTGCTTGGTTTATATGATAATTATCTATTTCTGTGTAACAAACTGTTCCAAAACTTAGTGTCTTAAAGCAATATTTATTTCACTCATGCATCTGCAATTTGGGCAGGCAGAGGAATGCTGTCTCTGTTCCACTTGGTACCAGTTGGGCTGGCTTGAAAGCTAAGGGTTAGAATCATCTAAAGGTTGTACATACTCATATACCTGGTGCCTGATGGGGCTGTTGTCTGGAATATAAATCAGGACTCTAATCAGAACCTGTTATCTGGACCTTTCCTAGGGTCTGGCATCCCAAGTATATTAGTCAGAAGCTATATTGCCTATTGTGAGTTAGTCTTGGGACTCATGTAGTGTCACTTCTGCCACAAACACAGGACTGCCTGCCCAGATTCAAAGGCAAGAACATGGATCCTACCTCTTGACGGGAGAGTGCAATATCACACTGTAAGGTTAGCATATAGAACGGGATGCACTGGTGTAGAGCTCTTTGGAAAGTACAATCTGCTGCATCAAGTGAATCAATGAAGGACAATGTAGTGCTGTGACACTGTACACCAACTAATGGATTACAACTGCAATACAAATATCACCTATTAAGTATTCTTGTCAAATTATTTAATCTGAACCTCACTGAGTTTCTAATTCTAACTTCGATTCGTGAGAAATAGTGGGGATAAATGAGCACATTAAAAATATTTTGAAAAAACAATGAGAAAAAAATTTATAATATTCTACACAACTATCCTAAACTTTGAAAAAAGTCAATGTGATAACATTGGGGAAAAGGGCTACTCTTGAACTGTTCCACGATAGAAAAAAGAGACCGAATGTTAGAGATTATAGAATAATTAATCTCCTTAGTTGTGAAGCTATGTAGTGATTAAGTAGAAGGCAGCTTTTACTCTTGAAAGGTTGACGTGTCATGACATCCATTTATATTCAAATATTACAACAAAGACGGTGTAAATGTCATATTGATATAAAGCAAATTATATATTAATTACTACTGAACATGGTGAGGACACACCAGGGGTCACTATACTATCTTAATTTTTCTGAATGAACAGTAGTCTTTTGGTAGCTTCTAATTTACCAATTAATGGGAAGAAATTATAAATTATAGCATATCTTGTTTTTGGGTCATGAAAAGGCATTACAGCTTTCCTGATTCTTTAAAATCTTTACTCTTGTCATCTTTACATTCATGAAATCTAGAGATTTCTTTTTCCTATTTTCAAAGATGAGCTCTGCCTTTGGAAATAGAAGTTCACTCTCTTTTACTGGATTTTATCTGGTTATTCACATTTACTGAATGAAAGGTAATGGGTGGTTTTTAAGTTCACCCATGTAGTATTCCTTTTAAGTGAATTTACTAATGGTACCATTAGTGATAAAAATAATATAGTAGGGACTGTGGCTATAGCTCAATGCAGTGTGCTTGCCTAGCACTTGTGAGGCACTGGGTTCAATCCTCAGCACCACATAGAAATAAAGGTATTGTGTCCATATACAATTAAATATAACAAAATAAGAACAGTAATATTAAGCACATGCTTTCTCAAGTACTCTTCTAAAAGTTTCCATTTTTATTTCATCCTCACAAAAATACTACTAGGTAGATACTATTACTACCATTTTAAAACAGGCACAGAAGGGAAGAGTCTTACCAACTTCTGCACAGGCAGAAGTGAACTTATGACTTAGAACAATGATGTGCTATGGCTGAAGTTCTTCCTACACTCATTTCATCAACAATCATCTTCTGTTCTAGTTCTAAAAGTGTGGACCATGTGGACGAATTGTTTGCTTCTGGCCTACAATGAGTTAAGGGCCAGACAGTGGGAGCAGGTGTTTAGAAATTTATAGCAATCTGACAGATGATTTATGGCTTTAAATAAGAAAAATGGAGCTTCTATAGTGTTCCTTTCCATTTCCTCCCCGTCCCCCTGTAAACCAATGTTCTTGCACTTTACAGAAGTACTGCTCAACATCAGCTTGTGAGGGGGAAAAAGTTCTCAATGGCTTGAGCTGCACTGTGCCAGAATCAATCTGCTAAACCTGAACCAAGACTGAGTGATGTTATGGTTTTTAAACTTTAAAAACCTACATTGTAAAATAATTTGTAAATATGAAGCAAAAGTGATTCCTACATATTCCCTAATATGTAAAAATACATTACGAATCCTCGATGTAAAAGGCATTTACAAGAACCCATTGTATCCTCTACATCATGCATAGTGTTTCCTCACTAGTATGACTTCTCTGGTGTAAAGTAAGCTGGTCACTACGAATAAAGGCCTTCCCACACTCTTCACACTTATAAGGCTTTTCACCAGTGTGAATTCTGTGATGTCGAGTAAGTTCTGAATTGACATTAAAGGCCTTCCCACACTCCTTACATTTATAAGGTTTCTCTCCAGTATGAACTGCATAGTGTCGGGTAAGTTCTGCTTGAAGGCGAAAGGCATTCCCACATTCCTTACACTCATAAGGCTTCTCACCAGTATGAAGTCTGAAGTGCTGAGTAAGATGGTACCGACGACTAAAGGTCTTCCCGCACTCCTTACATACATATGGAATCTCACCAGAGTGAATCCTTTGATGTAAGGTAAGTTGATAACTACAAATAAAAGCATTTCCACACTCACTACAGGCGTAGGGTTTCTCACCAGTGTGGATTCTGTAATGTTGAGTAAGACGATAGTGACGACTAAAGGTCTTCCCACACTCCTTACATTCGTAAGGTTTCTCACCAGTATGAATTCTGTAATGTTGAGTAAGATGATTGCTACGAATAAAGGCTTTCCCACATTCTTTGCATTTATAAGGTTTTTCACCAGTATGAATTCTGTGATGTTGAGTAAGTTCTGTCTGAAAACGAAAGGACTTTCCACATTCTTTACATTCATAGGGTTTTTCACCAGTATGAATTTTATAATGTTGAATAAGATTATAACGACGACTACAAATCTTCCCACATTCTTGACATTCATAGGTATTCTCATTAGTGTGATTTCGCTGGTGTGAAATAAGTTGACTGCTACGAATAAAAGCCTTCCCACATTCCTTACATTCATAAGGTTTCTTGCAAGTATGAATCCTGAGATGCCGGGTAAGCTCAGCTTGAAGACGAAAGGCTTTCCCACATTCCTTACACAGGAAGGGTTTCTCACCAGTATGTATTCTGTAATGTTGAGTAAGATGATAGCGGCTACTGAAGGTTTTCCCACATTCCTTACATTCATAAGGAACATTACCAGTATGAGTTCTCAGATGCAAAGTAAGTTGGTAGCCACAAATAAAACCCTTCCCACATTCTTTACATTCATAGGGCTTCTCACCAGTATGAGTTCTGTGATGCCGAGTAAGTTCTGTTCGAAGACGAAAGGCTTTCCCACAGTCTTTACATGCATAGGGTTTCTCACCAGTATGAATTCTATGATGTCGAGTACGTTCTGCATAAAAACTGAAGGACTTACCACATTCCTTACATTTGTAGGGTTTCTCACCAGTATGAATTTTCTGATGTTGGACAAGGTATGAACTATGACTAAAGGCCTTCCCACATTCATTACATTTAAAGGGTTTTACACCCGTATGGATTTTCTGATGTTGACTGATATGTCGTTGTACCCTAAAGGTCTTTCCACAAACCTTACATTCGTAGGGCCTCTCACCAGTGTGAATTCTTTGATGTTCACCAAGTTGATAATTAAGTCTAAAGGTCTTCCCACATTCTTTACATTCATAGGGTTTCTCCCCAGCATGAATTGTCTGATGTACTCTGAGGTCTCTAACTCGACTAAAGGTCTTCCCACATTCCTTACACTCATAGGGTCTCACACCAGAATGTATTCTCTGATGTTCAGTAAGGTGATAGTGAAGTCTAAAGGCCTTCCCACATACTTTACATTCATAGGGTCTCTCTCCAGCATGGATTGTCTGGTGTACTCTAAGGTCTCCCACTCGACAGAAGGCCTTTCCACATTCCATGCATTTATAAGGTCTCTCACCAGTGTGAATTCTCATATGTTGAATAAGGTAAGACTGTTGTCTAAAGGCCTTCTTACATTCCTTACATTTATATGGTTTCTCTCTAGGATGAATTTTCTCTTGTAGAGGAAGAGAGATTTGGTTTTGGATTATCATTTGACTAATGTATCCCATCTGATGTTCCTCTTTTCTCTCAAATTCACGCTTGTTCTGCAATCCATCTCTGAAAATGGTATCCCCATTGTTGGTTTCACTTTTTTCCACTGTCTGAAATTGAGACAAATATTTTTCACAAACATCCTTTTCTGGAAATAACTTCTTGGTGAAATCTGTTTTAAAAAAAATAATAATGCTAGTTTCTGTGTTGAGGGTGCAATGATGGGCTACATCTTTCAATAGAAATAAAAAGTGATCTGAAATAACAGACTTAAAGGTTTGAAGCAAGACTCAGCAAATTTTGCTATAAAGGGCCAGATGGTGAAGGTTTTAGGCTTTGTAGACAAGTTGTATCTGTCATAATTACTTAGCTCTGCTGTTAAGCTCAAAAGCCGTCACAATCTGTAAAATTGAATGAGTATAGCTGTGGTATGATCCACTTGAAGTTTGAGTCTGAAAACACCTTTTCTCAATCATTTAACATTAAGTCACTTCCTCAGGAAGACTGCCCTGATAACCACGTCTAAGTCCATGTTCTTGATTTTATATTCCAGCACACAGTTCTGTGAATTTCCTCAATTATATATTTTCTAACTTATTGTATGAATTTTATTTGTGTCTATACTTAGAGACTTATAGATGTCTGTTTCAATTCCTGACACTGAATAAGCTTGAATCTGGGACATGTTAAATAACTGCAGAACAAATACACCACTGGATTCAAAAGATAACACAGCCAGAATAAAAGCAAATATTGCACACAAGTTACTGAGGAAAGTAGCTAATTATAATAACTGGTATATTCATAATTTCCCAAAATATATATCTGATTCTAATCTCTCAACAAATATGCTTATTTCATTCCCCTATAAAGGAATAAATGTATACCCAAGCTGCATCAGCCAAATGTATGAATAGAAAAATGTCATTTTTATAACTGATTTTTCAATCACCTATTTGTTACCTTGACCTAAGGGTTCTCCACTGTTTATATCCCCCCCTGTGTACAGTCACCATTGACTGTCTCTGCCAACTAGAATAATACTAAGATATTAAGCATCAGCTGGGTTTTAGTATTCATTCCACAGATACTCAAACTCCAATAATTATATTGTAGGTTCTTGCTGGTAAAGTAAGGGAGGAAAATAATAAACTTCAGGAAGAAAATAAGTCTTTATTCATAGATGAAGTGGGTTGAATAGTGGCCTCCAGAAAAGATATATCCAAGTCCTAACTCCTGGTAC